TTATCAACCAGCAATATTTTAAGGTTACAATTTGTAAACAATAGATTCGTTCCCGACTAGAAAATGATCAGCGACGAAGAAGTGCTAATCAACGTAACCACGAAAGAAATCCAACTAACAGTCCTGCCGACGAGCGCGGAGAACTTTCTTCCCAAAGCAATTTATTAATTTCATGCCGCGGCCGCGGCATAATTTCCGTAATTGCAAAACGAGAACTGATCTCTCTGTAGTTCCCGAGGCGCTGGGCACCGTCGTCGGTTCGTTTCAGCGACGAAGACGAATAGTTCACGTGTGTCGAGGCGGCGGGGTAGGGAGGTGGGGAGGTGGGGGGGGGGGGTCACGTGAATTCGATACCAAAGAAAAGTTTCTACTCGAGAAATTCCAGGGATGTGCCCCGGTAGACGGGCGCTGCCAACTTTGCGACCGTCCGAGAGCCTCGCCCTCGGGCCTAATTAAATAGTCCGTTATTTGCGGTGCAATATAACTTGGTCCGGTCAAAGCAGGACTATTTACCGCTCGTTTAATTATTCATTACGCGCCACGATAATTTCCATTTGCGCGGGACTGTCCGCTGCGATTCGGCGCTCTGTCCCCCGCGGCTGGAAAAACGCCGGACATCAAAGGACCGAAGTTTCGCTGCGCCGATAGCAGTCTAGATTAGTAACGACTACGGGGACGGAGTGTCCTTTGAGCGGAACAAAAATGTTGCATTCTGTTGCGAGTCCGTGTCGTAGAAATTTAAACGCGATCCTCGGGAAAACAGAAACCGTCTCGCTCCGCTAGATCCGAACCTTTCGATCCGCGACGCACAGGGGTTTCTCCGATCGAATGCCTTCCGCGGAGGCTATTTACCACCGCCATCGGACCGATCACGCGAATTATTTCCTTCGAGATTCTTCCGTGGACGTAGCCAAGTACAGTAAATTCTGCCCAATTTATCCTTCAGCTTGTAAACAAAAATGAACCATTTCGGAAGAGGAGAATACGATTATTCGATTTACAGTAATGTCTCTCTAATTGGCGCCCAGATTGCGCACAAAAGTGGACAATTTGGGAAGCGGAGATACGATTATTCGAGCCTTGCGGTTTATTTTTATAGTTATAAATTGTCTACAATTGTAAAAGTGAGCCGCGAGGCTCGAATAATCGTGTCTCTTCTTTCCAAATTATCCATTTTAGTGGACAATCTGAGCGTCAATAAGGGAGACATTACTGTACGCGGGCAACGTATAGTCCTCGCGCGACAAGAAGGCACCTTTGCGCTTATATTCCCCCCACTCCCACATTTATTTAGCTGCACGACTGCCGCGGCACTCGATCGCTATTGACCGAGAACGGCGACGAAGATCGTCGTCGGTCAATTCATATTATTCGAGAAGCGCGAAGAGATTCGATTATTTCATAATTTTTACAGTAATGTCTCTCTAATTGACGCCCAGATCGTGCACAAAAATGAACCATTTCGGAAGAGGAGATACGATTATTCGAGCCTTGCGGTTTATTTTTATAGTTATAAATTGTCCACAATTATAAAAGTGAGCCGCGAGGCTCGAATAATCGTATCTCGTCTTTCCAAAATTATCCATTTTAGTGGACAATCTGAGCGTCAGTATGGGAGACATTACTGTACTCGATTTTATGCAACTCGGGAACAGTCCGACATTTGGTTCGTACGATAAAATGGCTGCCAAAAAGTCCTGGCGAAGCGTGCTCGATGCAAGTCTATCGCAGCAGCCGGGTAAAAAGTGGCCGAGAGTAAAACCTCCTCGTAACATTACACGATATTTTCTGTCTCAAAGAATGCAACGCTTCGTTGAACTTTTTGGAAGAATTGATCTCTTAATTCTCCATTCGCCGGGGGAACAAAAAGGAAAGTGAAGGGTCTTCCGGGTCTTGAAATACGTGGTGCACGATCGATAGACGGGAGGTCCTTATGCATTTACGACGTGTGCAGATTGCTAAATAAAATTGTAAACACGGTTCTTAACCGTTCGAGTCCCAAGCAGCGCGATCGCGCTGTTCAGATCTTGTGTCGCGATCAAACTTTAGTGACGCATGTACATCGCACAGGTGCTTTTTTTCATTTTTTTTCTTTTTGTTTCGTTTGTCAATCTTGACGAGCGCTGTCGCGCCGCTTGGTTCTCTTCGCAATCAATTAAGACAAGCGCTGTCACGCTGTTCGCCACTTTTCGACCGCGTTTTCTGAATAATCCCTGGGACTCAAACGGTTAAGTATGGTCAACCATATTGTTGAAAAAAAGCCCGCTATCCGAGCGATGAAACATGGACCTGTTTTATTGCCGCATAAAGACGTCCAAGTGCGTTTAGATAATTCTACATTATTTAGAGATAACGATCCTAAAACGCTTGGCTATAAAACTGACTATAATCGTTAACTAGACCGTGGCTTCTGTGCATTTATAGCAATTTATGTAATAAACGAAACGCAGACTGTTGAAGAAGCCACGAGAATAATTTAAAAATAATATTGCCTTATTTTTACCGTATTAACGTCGTTAAAAGAGGAAATAGTTTTTTATCTGGACTTCTGCTTTTGATAATGGACGAGGATAATGTTTATTTTGCATAATTGATCTTGCGTCGCGATCAAACTTTAGTGACGCAAGTACATCGCATAGCTGCTTTTTTTCATTTTTTTTCTTTTTGTTTCATTTGTCAATCTTGACGAGCGCTATCGCGCCGCTTCGTTCTCTTCGCAGTCAATTAAGACAAGTGCTATCACGCTGTTCGGCATTTTTCGATTGTGTTTTCTGAATAATTGGGACTCAAACGGTTAAAATGCAAGGAAGCATACAAATTAACTAGGTTTCGTAGCATTTTGTATTTTTTCTTCTTTAGTTCTTTGGCTAACGAAAGAAACTCTTCTCTAATACTAATTTCTCTAATAAAAATCTAGCGATCGATATTTTTCGCACGATCTCAAGCGAATTTTTTGCCGCGTCTTGTAAGCGGTTCGCCAATAGCAGCGTTCCAAAATACAGGGTGTCCCAAAAATGTCTCACAATCCGAAAGTGGCGGGTTCCTCAGGTCATTTGAAGCAACTTCTTACTTTACAAAAATTTTCTCGGAGGCACCGTTAACGAGTTATTAACGAAAAACAGTGACCAATGAGAGGCGAGCTCGGCTGGCGCGAGGCGACCGAGCCAACGGCGCCAGCGGTCGAGCGGTCGAATCCCAGCTCAACCGGCGCGAGGCGGCCGAGTCAACGGCGCCAGCGGTCGAGGCGGTCGAATCCCCACTCAGCTGGCGCGAAGCGACCGAGCCAATGAGCGGAACTGGGCTTCGCGCGCTGGTTAGCTGGGCCGCCTCGCGTCGGCCGTACTCGATTCTTATTGGTCACTGTTTTTCGTTAATAACTCGTTAACGGTGCCTCGGAGAAAATTTTTGTAAAGGAAGAAGTTGCTTCAAATTATCCGAGGAACCCGCCATTTGCGAGATATTTTTGGGACACCCTGTAAGCAACTCTGTCTGCGCGGTGTTTCAAATTATCCGATATTCCGTGTAAAGTAATCGTTCGATTGTTGTTCCAGTGCCTCAGATGATCCGACAAGATCCAACGGTGATGTCATGGGGTCTGTGGATCAGCACCCTGACAACGACCTCAGCAGCTCTGGTCACAGCAGGATTGGCAGCGCTGCTGGCCGTTTTGAACACCGCCACTTCGCCGAGGTCGAAAATCCTCTCCGATCCCGGCGTGTACTTCATAAATATTTTAACGCGTGAGTCTTCCAAATTGCCCATACAAACTTCCGTTGAGCTGTCCCGGGAGCTCGCTTTGTTCGCCGGATCACTCGCCGAACCGTCGTGCTCGCAAATCCAGAGAATAACTCGTTAAACTTCCGGTCTCCTTCCGTGCCTTCCAGTTTTCTGAAATTTACACTGGCCTGGCAAATCGGCCGGAATTTTGTCGATCCTTCTTCGGCGACACGAAGACGTGGTACGGTTAAAATGAAATTGTTCGCTTCGTTTGAAAATTATAAGACGATGTGCGGGGGACGAGCTTCTCCGAGAGATCCGAAGCAAAATTATACCCGTCCTTTAACCCATTGACTGTCACGCAAATTTAGCACGTCTTGCTCTGGGTGCCACGGTTTTATTTGAAAGAAAACATGAAGTTTTACAAAATATAATAATATTAAGTTACCGATATAATATTGCAATGGCATTTACAGTATTTTTTGTATTGATAATCAATATGTTCTCTACACGATATATACATTTTTCATTCATCCTTTCTAATAGTTCCTAACTCAAATAGCCATTTGTAGCCAACCTAAACTTGCAGCACCCACAACGAGACATCTCGTAGCTGGCAGTCAATGGGTTAACTCTTTGGGGCACAGGATTTCAGAAAATAAAACGGACACGCAGAAAATAGACGCGCAGAAATTTTATTGCGTTTTAAATTAAACAAAGTTGGTATATTTTGATTAACAAAGGAATCATATGATATAAAAACAAAAATGAAATATTGGATCAAAGAGACGGTTTTATTTTATAAAATTGACAATTTTATTACTAGTATTTACTTTTTCACTTAACATGGACATATACTACCATACATAATAAACGAAAAACGCAGGAAAAATCAAATACTTGTAAAAGATAACAATTCAAATTGCAAAGTGGTATTCGGCAAAGCAAGGAACGATACATAATGATACTTTGCACGTCGAAGACCAATATCGTGATTCTTTTCTAATATTATTTTTAGAACAATGTGAACACCTTCGTGTAGGATTGGCCTCAAAATATTGTAAACATCTTGAAATTTGAGAATATGCTATTGTTTTTACTAAAATTACAATTTATATAACCAAAGGTCACTACTGCCACTTCTCCATGACTTTACTATGATTACTACGTAATCGACATCAATTTTCTTTGCATTCTAAGAAATTAGATGCCACTTAATTAACTGCCACTTCTCTCCATGACTTGTACACTCGTGAAACACTGATTAAGTCGATACTACATAATCGACATCAATTTTCATTGCATTCTAAGAAATTAAATATAGTTAGACAACGTTCGATGAATATATGAGTAAAATAAATACATTTTTGAGTTTCCTAAAAAAAGATATAAACGAAGAGAAACGAAAATATTCTAAATATCTTGAAATTTGAGAACATGCTATTGTTTTCACTCTAAAATTATCACTAAAATTATAACTAAAATTATCACTAAAATTCTGCATGACTTGCATACTCGTGAAACACTGATTAAGTCGTTACTATGTAATAGACATCAATTTTCTTTGCATTCTAAGAAATAATATATCGTTAGACAACGTTCGATGAATATACGAGTAAAATAAATACGTTCTCGAACTTCCCAAAAAGAAGATATAAACGAAAAGAAACGAAATAACCGACGTTTCTAAGATCTTTTCGCATCGTTCATATACTAGCTGAATTAACTAATATTCGATTATTACAATTACAATAATTTCTCGGTGTAATTAAAAACGCGACGAAGTCGCCGAAGTTCCAAATCCGCCGAGTAAACGTGTACGCGAACAAGGGATGGGTGGGCGACTCGTGTCCAAGTTGTGCAACTATGCAATTCCGGAGTGTGTAACGGGGTTAACGATATCGAGGTATCGATGTTTCGGTAAGGCGTATCCCGTTCAGAGCGTGTTTCATTGAAGAATGAGTAGCGACGAAGCCGCGGTTCGGTTTCGAGTAAGGCGGACGTGAGAACACCGGTATTCAATATTGGTTTAATTGGGTCCCGTTTCAGTGTTAATGTGCCTCGCTAGCACGAGCACCTGGCTGGCACAGTACTACACAAAGCTGTACTTCAACGTGCTTCCGAAGGAGGACATCGACAATATGTGGACCAGCGAGGGTTCTGCTGAGCTCGGTTATTCATTTTGGTAAGAGACCTTTTATTCTCCGCTCAATGGCGATGTAGTATCACGGGCACGGAAGCCTCGGACAAACTGCGCTCGACGACTCCATGCCTCATCGTTCGCGGATTCTAAAGCCCCCGCAGTTCAATACGATAAATGTTTCACGAGCCTCCGCGAGACGCGGGCGCTCTTCAGAACGATCCGGCACAGTCGCCGTGAGAAAGGGGCGTCGTTTATGCCTCGACGGTACCAAAGAATACGCGATTTCCCTTCTACCCTCCTGTATTATAGCAATGCGAGTAAATCATCCTCATTCTTGCCCTATAATTCGTAACACGCTTAGGCTTTCGGATCTGCAATCGGTTAGTATCTGAAATGTGAAACGTGCAAATAAGCTTGACAAATAAAGTATATTGATAATAATTAATAATATACAGGATGTCCCGGAAATATCTTGCAATTCAGAAATGGGAGGTTCCTGAGGTCATTTGAAGCAACTTTTTCCTTTGCGAGAATTTTCTCCGAGGCTCCGTTTACGAGTTATTAACGAAAAACACTGACCAATAAGAAGCGAGCTCGGCTAGCGCGCGGCGACCCAGTCAACGAGCGGAACTGGGCTCCGTGCGCTCGTTGGCTCGGCCGTCTCGCGCCAAATGATCTTGCCTCCGATTGGTCACTCTTTTTCGTTAATAACTCGTAAACGAAGCCGCGGATTGCATTTTCGCTAAGGAAAAACTTGCTTCAAATGACCTCAGGAACCCCCTACTTTCGGGTTGCGAAACATTTTTGGGACACCCTGTATATTTATTATAATAATAATAAAGTATATGATCGTACATCAAACAGTCTTACATATAATACCATAAATTCTGGAAAGCTATAATCCAGAAGTTGAAAATATTGTTGTCAATGCATTCTTCAATCTCAAGATAGTTCAGATTCTAGGGGAGAAGACAAAAATGAAAAGTTGAAAGATTGTTAAATAATATACAGAGTGTCCCAAAAATGTCTCGCAATCCGGAAATGGCGGGTTTCTCAGATTATTTGAAGCAATGGTCACTACTGCCACTTCTCCATGACTTGCATACTCGTGAAACACTGATTAAGTCGATACTACGTAATCGACATCAATTTTCTTCGCATTCTAAGAAATTAGATATCGTTAGATAACGTTCGATGAATGTACGAGTAAAATAAATACATTCTTGAGCTTCCCAACAAGATATAAACGAAGAGAATAAATTCCAAACAAATTCCAAAGAGCTATAATCCAGAAGTTGAAAATATTGTTGTCAATGCATTCTTTAACCTCAAGATAGTAAAGATTCTAGGGGACAAAAATGAAAAAAAATGAAAAGTTGAAAGATTGTTAAATAATATATAGGGTGTCCCAAAAATGTCTCACAATCCGGAAATGGAAGGTTGCTGAGTTCATTTGAAGCAGCTTCTTCCTTTACAAAAATTTTCTCCGAGACACCGATAACGAGTTATTAACGAAAAACAGTGACCAATAAGAATCGAGTACGGCTGACGCGAGGCGGCCCAGCCAACCAGCGCACGAAGCCCAGTTCCGCTCCTTGGCTCGGTCGCCTCGCGCCAGCTGAGCTGGGATTCGACCGCCTCGACCGCTGGCGCCGTTGGTTCGGCCGCTTCGCGCCAGCCGAGCTCGCCTCTCATTGGTCACTGTTTTTCGTTAATAACTCGTTAACGGTGCCTCGGAGAAAATTTTTGTAAAGGAAAAAGTTGCTTCAAATGACCTGAGGAATCCGCCACTTTCGGATTGCGAGACATTTTTGGGACACCTTGTATATTAAATAATATTACAATAATTACCGTCGATGCTGGCACCGGATCAAGCCAAGATTAATTATCGTTGTCGTTGTTGTTGTTGCAGGCTGGTCGTGTGCGCCGGGGTGGTGCATTTAATCAGCATAGCATTGGTCGGCTGGGGCTCCGGACGAGACAAAATTGAACGTCTCGAAGCAATTCCGGCTTTGGAAGAGAAGACCGCCGCGGCAATAATGCTGTATTGAATCCGAGGATTCTCGGGGCGCAGACTCAAATAGAAGAGATCCATTACAGAAATTAAACAGCGCTCGTGTGTCGAGCGAACGGGAGTCGATTATACAAAGAGCAGCGGCGCGTTTCCGTTGTCCGGGACCGAATCTCGTCAAGTTCCTAGACTGTTTGTTAGGTCGTTTCCTTTTCGAGCAAACGCGACGATGGAAAACGGCGCGGAATCGCGAAGGAATTCTTCGCGTGAAATATATCTCTACGTCTCAAGGATTCTGTCTATGACACGGGGACGCGAACGGACAACGTCTGAATTTCTAAGGGGGTGCATGATCGAATAGAACATGTACAGGGAACATTTCGCAAATAAATTCGATAACGGTAATCTTTAAATCGTTCGTTTAAAATGGAATTGCTTTTGGTATTNTCTTGAGCTTCCCAACAAGATATAAACGAAGAGAATAAATTCCAAACAAATTCCAAAGAGCTATAATCCAGAAGTTGAAAATATTGTTGTCAATGCATTCTTTAACCTCAAGATAGTAAAGATTCTAGGGGACAAAAATGAAAAAAAATGAAAAGTTGAAAGATTGTTAAATAATATATAGGGTGTCCCAAAAATGTCTCACAATCCGGAAATGGAAGGTTGCTGAGTTCATTTGAAGCAGCTTCTTCCTTTACAAAAATTTTCTCCGAGACACCGATAACGAGTTATTAACGAAAAACAGTGACCAATAAGAATCGAGTACGGCTGACGCGAGGCGGCCCAGCCAACCAGCGCACGAAGCCCAGTTCCGCTCCTTGGCTCGGTCGCCTCGCGCCAGCTGAGCTGGGATTCGACCGCCTCGACCGCTGGCGCCGTTGGTTCGGCCGCTTCGCGCCAGCCGAGCTCGCCTCTCATTGGTCACTGTTTTTCGTTAATAACTCGTTAACGGTGCCTCGGAGAAAATTTTTGTAAAGGAAAAAGTTGCTTCAAATGACCTGAGGAATCCGCCACTTTCGGATTGCGAGACATTTTTGGGACACCTTGTATATTAAATAATATTACAATAATTACCGTCGATGCTGGCACCGGATCAAGCCAAGATTAATTATCGTTGTCGTTGTTGTTGTTGCAGGCTGGTCGTGTGCGCCGGGGTGGTGCATTTAATCAGCATAGCATTGGTCGGCTGGGGCTCCGGACGAGACAAAATTGAACGTCTCGAAGCAATTCCGGCTTTGGAAGAGAAGACCGCCGCGGCAATAATGCTGTATTGAATCCGAGGATTCTCGGGGCGCAGACTCAAATAGAAGAGATCCATTACAGAAATTAAACAGCGCTCGTGTGTCGAGCGAACGGGAGTCGATTATACAAAGAGCAGCGGCGCGTTTCCGTTGTCCGGGACCGAATCTCGTCAAGTTCCTAGACTGTTTGTTAGGTCGTTTCCTTTTCGAGCAAACGCGACGATGGAAAACGGCGCGGAATCGCGAAGGAATTCTTCGCGTGAAATATATCTCTACGTCTCAAGGATTCTGTCTATGACACGGGGACGCGAACGGACAACGTCTGAATTTCTAAGGGGGTGCATGATCGAATAGAACATGTACAGGGAACATTTCGCAAATAAATTCGATAACGGTAATCTTTAAATCGTTCGTTTAAAATGGAATTGCTTTTGGTATTGTACTTAATATTTGCGACCTTCTTATCCGCCGATTGATCCAACTGAAGCGATCGTTCTGTAAGATTTCGTAGTATTCTTTGTAGGGTTTCGAACGATACTGTACGCGAACGTTTGTTTGAATGCAAGTTGAAAAGCTGACCGCCGTGTTCTTCGAGCCGCTATCATAATTACGATGGGAAATCAAAACGAAATGTAATCGATAAATGCTTTTCTGCTGCGAACGTCGTAACAACGTGCGATTCGAACAAAGTGCGCCGCCGAATTACGTTACAATTTCGAACAATAAAATCAGTGAGTACCCTAATCACAGACGTTTGTACGATTTGTCATGTGTCTGGCGCAACGTCGATTCCCTAAACGATTTTATACGTCTACATTTTTTTTTCTTGTGCATTTTACGTGTCCATGTTCGTAAAAGAGTCGGCTAACGGCGTTGTTCTCTTTTCGTGTCTGCTGCTAATTAACACCGTTATCTCTGAAATCTTTTTATGTAAATTAATCGAACTATTTAATCGAGTAGGTATGTAAATAGAAACGGAGTTTGATACTCTATAGTGATTTATTTATTACGTAGCATCGTAGACCCTTAACTATATTATCATCATATGTAATAAAACGATTAAAAAGACAATACGGACAAGATGCGTCGGATCTTCATTTATATTTATGCCATGTAACATCGAGGGCGGCTCTCGGATTGGTCTCAAAACCTGAACTGTATTATAAAAATTAGAAACATCGTTGCCACGATCATGCACGGAAGAGAGGAGCATCTTTCGTCTATCTTTCTGTCTTTCTTTCTGGGGAGAGAGAGAGGTATGACACGACGACGTGTACGAGTTCGTAAAAAAAATCTCGCATTAATGTTAGAATACAAGAGCACTTTATTGACGTTTCGAGACTTCCCACCACTTCCTCACACATACAGTCCACCATTTCTTCTGCTCTCTACATCGATTCAGTGTTTCACATACAATTGCGAGGCGCGAAATAATCGTGTATACTGTCACGAGCGTTTCTTTTTTTTTCATTGTCAAACCTAATGCACGTAACGCAGTATTATATTGTCGATATTAAAAAATGATTCGTGTGTTGGAGGTTCGTTCTTTTAGAAAAATCATAAAAACTCAATTCTGTCGCGTAACCTTGACACAACCGATGATAAAAGCAAAATGCACGATTACTTCGCGCATGTATGCGGAATACTGAATCGATGTGCAGAGCAGAAGAAACGGTGGACTGTATGTGCGAGCAAGAATTCGATTGGCCGGATAAGTCTCGTCACGGAGAGTGGCGGGAAATCTCAGAACATCAATAAAGTTCTTTTGTACACTAATGCGATTTTCTTTTTTGTTCGCATTTTGCTTTTATCATCGGTTTCCTTTTCGTCCGAAGCGGCGAATTTGCCCACGAACGGATTGCCTTTGTGCTTTCTTTGAATTACAACGATTATGTCGGAGAAGGAACGCCAGCGGTGCACAAAACAGCCGAGTTGGGCACGCCGTGTAGTTTCTTTGCAAAAAGTCTAACTGCGAATACGGAACGCTTACTATTTTTCAAGAACGGTGCATAATATAATGCGCTGTTCTTGAAGAACGGTAAACGTTGCTTCTATAGGTAGCTCCGATGTCTTATGTTAACGCCGGCTGCTGACCTGCGACCATCCGTCGTCCTCTGGTGGTCGTCTTCTTTCCTCCTGTTTCGGTGGAAGTCTGTCCTCTTTTGGATCATCGCGCCTAGTCATTGAAAATCATATCAGTGCATTAAATCTAATTGTTGAAGGCGACGTAGTTCCAAGGCGGTATTAATCGTCACATTAATTAGGCATAAGAATTGGAACCGCAGTCCAATGATCGCTAACGAAAGCAAAAGCTTACTTTTCATCGCGTCTAGGTGGATCCCGAGGTGAGTTTTGTATCAAGTCGCCCTTACTGCGCCAACTCTGATTGCTGCCACGTATTGGCTCCTCGCGACGTCCAGTAGGAGATGCACGACGTTCGGGCATTCTACCACGTGCACGAAAACCATCGGTTATATTGTCGCTTCGTGTAGTATCACGCGGCTGTAAAACCAAATATATATGTTATGTATTACCACAAATATGTGTCTTTTATTTATCAAAGCCTACTCACGGGACGCGGCGCATCCCTTCCACGGTCTCTGTCTATTCTATCCCTATCCCACTCCCTGTCCCTATCCCGAACATCCTCCTTATCATAATTGTGTCGTCGCCATATGTCTGAATTCTCCTTTTTCGGTCTTTCCAGTTCATCCTTCCGCCACTTATTGTCTGTCTCGCCGCCGCGTCTCTTCCAGCGATTGAACTCTTCTTTGTTGCCGTCTTCTTTCGCCTCAGTATTGCGACGCCAAGATATCACTTCTGCTATGGTAAAAAGGTGTTATTAAAATCGGTTTCAAGTTGTAGCTATTCTACTTTGCGAACATAAAATAGTGAAAGCGATTCGACGCATACCTGGTTTCTCCGGTACTCGTTGGCGTCTCCATGCATCGGACATATCCTTCTCCTTTTGTCTCTCTTCCTCCAATTTCCGTTCAATCTCGGCTTCCCTGGCTCTAGTAATCTCAGCTTGTCTCTCGATCTTAGCCAAACGTTCGGCCTCCTTTGCTTCCTCCTCGACGCGTCTTAATCTCTCCTCTTCCTCCCTTCGCGCTTTCTCCACCTCCATTCGTCGTTTCTCCTCTTCCTGTTTAATTCGCAACTCCTCCTGCCGTCTTCTTTCCAAAGCCTCGGCACGTTCGTGTTCCCATCTTGCTTTGCGCTCGGCTTTACGCTCCACCTTGCGTTTCAACAATCTGCTCGCTCTCTCCTCGTTCAATACCTTTTCAAATTCGTTCAACTTCTCAAGGTAAATACTCTTACGTTCAGCCAATATCTTCGACAAAAAGATATCATGATCCTCCTTCATCCTAGCCATGCGTGCTCTGGTTGCGACAGCCTGCTGTCTTTCTTCTTTGGCTGCAGCAATTCTTTCTGCCTCTTGCTGCTCCCAGCGTAGCTTGGCTTGCTCCATCTTCTCCTCGACTGCTTTCTCCAGTAATGGTATCTCCTCTAACCGTTTGGCACGCTCCAAATAATCGATCTTCTTCTCCTGAGATTTCAACTTCTGTTGCATTTCTCTGCGTTCTTTCTGCAGCTCCTCGGCTTCCCTGGCTGCAATTTGTTCGGCATCTAACTTCTTAATCTCATCCTCGTCCAGTTTCTTGAGTACTTTCTGACCGTGACTAGTCTGTGAAATTTGTTGCATTTTCTCCTTGAGATGACGGTCCTTAATTTGTTGAATTTCACTTTGCTGCCGTTTCCTTTCACGCTCCTCCCTCTCTTGTTCCAATCTCTTTTGTTCAGCCAGCATTTGCTGTCTTTGTAATTCCTCTTGTCTACGCATTTCCTCCTCTTCGCGAACTGTGTTTATGTGTTCGATATATTCTTTTCTCTCTTCTATGATCTTATGTCTTCCCAGAATTCTTTGATGCTCCTTCAATTTAGTTTCATGATAGTGACCCACCATAGCACTGCGCAACTTTTCACGTTCCGTTTTCTTTTTGTTTGGATTGATAATATGAATTGCTCTATGCAATACTGTAGCCATATTTACAAGTTGACAACGAATTTGTTCAGAAGGCATAGCTTGTAGAACCGGGCCATCGGGATGATCTTCCCTCTGAGCCTCGGACAAATCAACTCCAAAGTGCACGCACTTCTTCCCATGATTAATTCTTATTTGCATGTCATTGTATCTTACACAGTCAACTAAGAGACGTTCTAAATGAAAGTCTGTTGTGAACTTAGCAAGCTCCAGAAGCCTTGCGAACTGTACAGTTTGATAAACTTGTGATATTTGATGAATCAATCGAACAAGCGTTACGTCCTGCAAGGCTGGAATATACTGAATGAAAGGACTGTTCTCATCGGTTTGTAGAGTCTGAATAACAGAATCCACTCGTGTACACAACTCCAGGGGATGGAATTCAACTTCTAACCATGAATATAAATCTTGCAATTGTGGAGACGCTAAATTCACGATATTCAAACGAACGATATCCTTAAGCAGAGAAACTCTTGTCGGTGGTTGAGAGAGACCTAAAAGTGTTGCAAGCTTTTGAGCCTTTTCTAACGGACTCTTATCTGTTTCAATGAAGCGATCAAATTCTGGGTGAGCTGATGGCAGTGGAATGGATAACGTAGCTAATAAGACACGATTGGCCATTCTCTGCTGTTCCTCCAACGACATATTCTTTTTCATTTCACGAGAGAGTTGCAGCAATTTGAATAACGCGGCAGCATGGAAGAGATAATTTCCCGCCTTCCAGAACACCATGGCTAACTTCTGATAATAATTGGCCATTGTTTTTGGTACTGGAAGCTTTTTCGACAAGTTCATCATACCGTGTACATCTTCGGAGGACTTGAAAGCCTCTTGCCATAACTCCATTTGAATCGCAGAATCAAGTTGGTTCAATCGTGTTTCCAGATTCAGTTGTTGAGTCTCGGCTCTATTCATGGAAACATTAGATACCAATGCTGGTAATTTACAAATTTCTTCTAGATGTTTTCTCAACTTTTCACACAATTTACGAAATTCAGTCTTACGGTTGTATTCAAGACAAAACTGGAAGGCCATACGTGCAATGTCATGATACAATGTTTCCACATGTGCATTAGTTCTGAGTAGTTCCAAACACTGACAATAGGACTCCCATAAAAATTTCACCCAAGGTGTTAAGATTGTACGGTCACTTCTATCTTGAGCATCTTCACCACTTACAGCTGACAACAGAATGCTTTCAGGCGTAGCTAAGTTGTCAAGATCATCTATGTCTATAACAGCCTGTTGACTTTGTTTCCTTGCTTGATTTGTTTTCTCCTCTGCCATGCGTAAATACCCACGTATGACGTTTTCTAAACTTCCAACATTGACAGATTGAAACATATTTCGATATTGAAATAGGCCTTCCTTCGCTATGTGTGACCTTTTTAGTTCCACACATAGGTCCAAATATTTGAACATTATGGGTTCCAAAACGGACTCCGACCAATTGTACGTCCATTTTTTATTCCGGAAGACTTCTTGCAAAGTGTCTAATGCCCGAGCTGGCTTTCCTACTTCGATGAATTCTGTAAAAAGGAGGAACTTATTATGTATTACTAATATTTTATTTATTTAATGCGTATAATTAAATCCATTTAATTAGGTATCTTAATGCCCTATAAACTCGTTTAATGTCTCAATAAGTCGTATCAGGTTAGATTGCGAAACAGTACTTAGTTTATGTAACACAGTAAATAAATAGGCATCTGTATTGTCAAAGTCAGTTGAATAACACTATAAAACGGTTTCAATAAAAAATACAAGAAGTATCCAATAAAGCGAATATCGAGAACATCGAAATTCATACTTATCAAGATAAGAAAAAAAACACGTACCATATGAATTTATTTAAAATGAACATATAATCTTTATGTTCGTGAAACGTCAGAAATAAAGAACAGAATCGCGAATGTAGCAGCAACAAGGTTTAATGGCAGCATAGTTTCTTAACGGCTTGCATAATTTATATCGCAGGTGCATATGGTTGTGTAAAAGTGATGCATATTTTTCGAAAAAAGAATCAGACAGACGTGACTATAGGCAGTCTGAATGTTACGTGACAAGTAAGATTATTGTTTACGATAATTAACCAGTACTGGGAAGACACGCGGACAAGTCAGTTGGCGTGGGTCATTGAAAATTGGCACTGATGGACCCGTAAGAATATTTGGACTCTAGATAATATATCCATCGGCCATGTCACATTCTTCAGTGGCTGGACACCATACATACCATTCGCTCTTTTTAGAGCATTCTCAGGTCTCTGTCCGTATCGCGCCATTTTCTCGCACAAATATAATTACTTTCACACCATACACGATACCGCAGAATCCAGTAAACCTGCGTAGAAAATCTAGAATTTCCGTTTTTTAACGACACGACGTTTGTCACGACGGACTCCGACCGCGTGTACCGGATGAAAGGCGACCGCTACGGAAAAATGGCTTCCCGTAATATGTAAGTCAAATCAAACAACCTGATTTCGTAATATCTGAAATGCAGATTATCTATATCCATCAAATTACCAAGAAAAATACAACTTAGATTAGTGTCGATGCTATTTTTATAACAACTCTCTGTGATTACTATTATTACACTTATGTCGACTGTACATAACTGACATAACTGAACGGGGATAGCAAATGGGCTTGGCTTGTAAAGGCCTATTTTCAATTTAACTGTCCGTTAGACGAGATCTGTTCCGTTATTGATAAATTGTTTAAAAATTTGTTTACAGTAAAACAATATCGAATAAGTATCTTATATATTATTCACATTTCCTTAAGAAAAAGTATACATAGAATATACATAGGCACATTCCCACCATTTTACTGCGCATCCAATCCGCAGTGGATCCTGTCTCAGCAATAAATCATCAGCCACTCAAAACAAAGAAAATTTCTACATCGACACTCGCTAATGGATCAAGCTGCGGCCTAAAGGTGTGCAAGAGTAGTATGTTAAAGTATATTAGAGTAGTATATTACTGTGTAACTGCAATCTTTTTTATGAAGTTCTCATTGCATTTTTGTTTGTCTTACGTACAAAAATGTTTTTAAATATACAACAGTAGAAATATTTCGAGTGAATAAATTTATTTACAAAAATATATAATATGTTATAATAAGAATAAATTTTCTACAACAGCCAAATTAATTAAGAAATTTTCCACAGCTGGTGGTAAATTTTTTTCTTTTAGCGTCTGTGCAGAGACCATTTTTCTTCCATCGGGCCCTTGAACTATAGCCAGAGATGTTAGTTGATTCAGTAGATCTTGAGTTTTATCATTAATTTCAGATATTATTTGGGCTTCTGTGTAGGTTTGATTTTCACATAACTGGACCATGAAGAGAGCTATTTCTTTATGTGTTTTCGTCATTGTAAGACTCTCTAGAATGAAAAGATAATGCTTTATTTTGTAAAAACAGCGTATTCAACGAATAGAAAATTTTTCCAAATCTTTCTTTTTACCCTTTGCATGTGAAGCAACTGTAATTTCTCTAGCTGGAATGTTGACAAGCAGATCGAATAAATCTGTTCTCGATGATATTGAGCTGTTCCTGCAACCCGCAACGTAATGGGAATGTTTCTAGAAAAAGATTGTTAATTTAGTACTTATTGCGAAAATAAACAATGAAGTTTATTAATGCGTGTACCTTTAATTCTGCCAGTTCATCGTCAACTAAATCAACCCAAGGAAATAAGTTGTCACTAACTTTGCGATGTTTCATCAATGCTGGAAATAGCCCAGTCCATTTCAAAAGTTGTTCTAAACTATGATGATAAACTATTATCCTTTTTTTCAAGAGTAAAGCTGTATATATTAATATAGTTTCTAATTCAAAAGCTTTTATTAATTCTCTGATGTTGGTATTCACTGTAAAGCGGTAACTATTGAAGTCGTCGGAGACAAACGTTCCATTTTCTTGGGTAGAACAAGATCCTTTTGTAAATACGGAAAGATACAGTTGTAAAATTTCTGTTGGTTTCCCGGTTTTACAATACATTTTGCTGAGAACTCTCGAAAGAACTTCATATTTTCGTGGATTAAAATCTTTCGCAAATAAAACTAGAGCAAATTGTTTTACCTATTGAAAGAAGAAAATGATAACTTCGTTCTATACTTATTTCTTTCGTAAGAATTATTTAAACTTACTTTTGGTAATTTGTCTGAATCAAATACTTCGGTGGAATGAATATAAAACCAGTCATGCTTATGCCTTGAAAATACAAACACTTGCGAGGAATTGCATTCCGATTCTAAGTTACATTTTCTATATACAACTGCTTTCTGCAATTCTGAAATGAATGGGTAAGACCACGTCCATAATACATCACCGTTGGAATCTTTTTCTGAAATACAAGAAAAGATAATAAATAGTAAAGAAAATAATTATACATGCACGCATTTGAATAAAATACTACCGATTATGCTACAGGAAAGTAGATCCGTAAGCGGAGCCATTTCTGATTAACCCATCAAATTACATTAAAATAATTAAATTTGTATTCGTAGATTTTATTTTCATTACAAGTAGCACATAATCATTCCCATATTGTATGACAACTGTTCGTGCTATAGATATAGGAACTAGGTTTGACAAGTTTCACATTTTTTTAGGTTATGTTTGATAACACTGTAGGACGTTCATACGTATATACGGACATATATAATAACAATTTTCCCCTATTCATTTGTGATATCACTAGAAAGGTGGACAATCCATTTTAGCATAGAATACATATGCTATATAAAGACAAAATCGGCTGATCTTGACCTTGACACTACATACATACAGCATTGCCACCCCATTCGAAAACGCGGCAATATTTAAAACATAATATTATGAAAAAACTATACCTAACAAATGTATAGGTATAATAATTTCACGAACTGGATATTACTCGAAACATAATGTTAAATTATTTTGAAGCCATGCGTATAGTGCACAAACTAATACGAGGTTTTGGGTTTATCTCCATGATGCATCCTCTTACGGATGCTCCCACATTGAGAATTGGTTCTCGTAAAACGCTAGGGTTTCAACTCTGAAAAGATTCTCTATGAAAGTGGCAGAAATTTTGAGTTGCTAGGGTACAATAAAATTCTAGTAACAGTACGTAACATTATGTACACAGGCATTGTCCATAAAAACATAGTTGTGTTTAGTCAGTGCAAGAGTAATTCGGATGGACGTTCGTGAAGCAGTGAACTGCAATGAAACTTCTCGAATACCAGAAAAAAAATTGTATCTGCGGGAAGAAGACAGGATAAGAAATAGATGGCGTGTGAAATAATTCTTGATAAGATAGTGGAATCGTATCGTTTCCCTGATTCGCAGCCAGTTTAAAAGGCCACTCAACATTTGAACATGTTGAATCAGATGTCCGAGGAACAGATCGTTGCTGCTCCTTCTGGGGCAGAGAGAACACCGAAGCAAGTCTTGAAACCACGAAAATTAATTACCAGAACATTCGATTTTCTTTGGAGACGTAATTCTCGACGTGATAGCATTAAAAAAGAAGAGGATGCGGTAGATATTAGAATCGTTGAGTGCAATATTAACAATACTGTTCCGAGGAAAACATCGTTCAGTTTCTTCAAAAACATCAAAGATCATGTGCACATTAAGAAGCTGACAGAGTACAAGTTGAAACAAAAAGTAAGTACACAAAGATGTCAGCTGTGTTTTTAGATCTAAGAGATATTTTTACAGGAAAATGAAATTCAAGTATCCGGCTCGTTGACAGAAGACAAAACAAGTTCAGATTTGTTGACACTTCGAAATGACACATCTCGATTACATACAGAGGAGAGTAACATATCTGAAGTTCAATCAGAAAGTATGATTGAACCTTGCGATGATCAGGACAGTGATGAGACACCAATCACCGATGATTCATCTTACCAAAATGAAGAGATTTTAGAAAGTTTAGATGAAACCTTAGAAAATTATTTTGACGTAAACAGGAAACTAGATTTGCTTAATTTGGAAGACATCGAAGAGCTTCAAACAGACAATAAATATGAAAATGTTCCTAGTCATTTTCAATCTTGTTCCGATAATCAGGAACTATTAGAATACCACCTTCCAATAGAAAATGAAATTGTGGATCATCCGAACGAAGATATTTTAGATACTCGGAATACTAATGAAACATTAAATAACGACAATAAAGCGAAAGCAAGTCTCACAGAAGAATTACTTAGATTAAGTAACTATGGATGGTACTGGGGGCCTATATCAGGCAATGAAGCAGACGCCAAGCTAATATCTGAACCGGACGGTGCATTTTTAGTCAGAGACTCGTCAGATGTCAGGTTTGTTTTTAAAATGAATCAATAATAACAAATTATTACATAGTTAATACTGTTAACATCGATTTTTTCTGTAGATACGTCTTGACACTTAGTTTTAAATCATCCGGTAAGTTACTTCACGCTCGTATGGAACACAGTGGTGGTTTATTTTCTCTCTGCAACCAAAGTGGAAGTGAAGAATTCAGCTCCGTAGCTGATTTAATTGCATATTCTATGAACTTTAGCCAGTCAGCACCGTTCTGTTATGCTCGACCCAGGTGTCCTGGCCATCCAACATTTCCAGTTAGATTAACAAAACCAATAAGTAGATTTACACAAGTTCGAAGTTTACAATACCTTTGTCGTTTTGTTATTCGCCAGAATACTAGATTGGATAATATTCACAAACTACCTTTACCAAAAACTATCAAAGGCTACATAGAAGAAGCTCATTATTAATATGGAGAACGAGAAATTAGACGTTATCTTCTATAATCACACAGTGCAAAGTTTACTGTAAGATCCCTGGTATAAATACGAACGTGATTGGATAGTTCTTTCAGAAAAGTATCATTCTTAAAAGTAATGAAAGATATGATAAGAGCATTTTTTTTAAACAACTGAAATGTTCATTGTTAGATCTAAGAGATATTTTCATTTTTATAAAAATTGATATAATTATATCAAAGTTATCGATATTAGTAATGAGGCTCCTATAAATGATATAACAATAGTTAATTTTGTAATGGTATATACGAATCATTTCATTGTAAAATATGTTATATCTTGGAATGTAATCTTAACTCGTTAGGCACTGGCTGTGTAAACATATATTTTATTGTAAACTCATCT